CAGCAGCATAGCAAGTTCAAGTCCAGTCAGGGCAATTTAACAAGAGCCTGTCCCAAGGTGAAATATATAATAGAGCATCCGGGGATATAACTTCGTGGGACGCCTCTGGGTTCAATCCCCAGTACGAAAGACAATCAAACTCTGTCCTGCAGCGATTTCAGATGCCACCTGGGTTGCATACCATATTTCCGTATGTACTGAGGTATAATCCTGGACTCCATAGTCTGTTTCAGGAGTCTCATCTATTCATGTACATTGGTTTAATTAAAAGGCTTTATAGTAGGTTTAAATGCTTGGGACGGGTATTTCTCCCTCCTAGTTTTTCTTTTCAAGAGTTTTCCAGGCTGTTCTTGGCATTTTTAAAGTATGAACTTTAACAGTGCTGCAGGCCACAGCTTCTCTTGCCCCAATTGTGGCTCCTAATTACCCTGTGGCTCCTAATTACCCACAGAGCTTCCTCCCCCAGCTCCAAGAAGCTCGAGTCCACCCAATCCTTAAATGCAGTCTGGCATCTTCTCCACTGCTCTGCAGAATCTCAGGTTGTTCCCTGGCCCACCTGGGTTCTGACTGCACAAGCTCAAAATGTGTGTGATATGTGCATTCCTGACTCCTCGGCCCCAGTCCCTTGTTTTTCCAGGCATCCTTGGTGCCGACAGACCATCTTTCTTGGTGGAATGCAACCACTGAAAAAGTGGAACCAACACTGTTCTACAGGTTGAAAACCAGTACAAAAATCTTAAAATGAGGATGAGCCTCTCTCTCTCTCGGAACTGAACCCAAGACATTCCCCTGAGCTACATTCTCAGCTCTTTTTTTAGTCTTTTGAGACAGTGTCTAACTAAGTTGCTACGTTGCCAAGGCTGGGCTCAAACTTTCAGTTCTCCTGCCTCAGCCTCCCAAAGTGCTGGAGTTGCCACCATGCCCACGTGAGCAATTTCTTAAACCATCAAAATCGCTGGGGATTGGGCAGTGTCTATAAGGGCCTTCTAGAAGTACAGGAGGAGAGAGGGAGAGAAAGAGACAGAGGGAGGGGTGAGAGGAGAGAGAGAGAGAGAGGGAGAGAAGGAGGGGGAGAAAGGAAGAGAGGGAGAGTAGAGAGAGGGGAGAAGAATGGAACAAAACTGTGAGACAAGCAGGAGAAAGGAAAGAGACTAAGGTCACAGTCTTCCACCCGGCGATGCTAATGCCGTCTGAGAGGAGTCACCTGAGGACAGGCGGAGGGGTCCCACCGCTCTGAACCTATCTGCCCGTGGAATAGCACAACATCTCTGATATGCTGAACGTCACCTCATCATGGCACTTCTCTCCCGAAAGATGCAGATAGATGTCACACACTGGACTGCTAAGGATTTGCATTTTGAGAATTTAGAGAACGCTTTGCGGACCCTTCTATAAAGCAGCCCGCCCCGGCCACGCTGTGAAGACTTCCTGTCACGCCCAGTGACACGGGGTATATTGTCAGTCGCCACCAGCTGAGATGTCAGGGTGGGCTGGCTTTCCTCACCTGGGCTCCCAGTGACCACAGGCGGCTAGGCCAGGTGCTCAGTAGACTTTTGAAGAAGCTGCTAGGAGCCCCCAGCCACTGCTCTTCCCACAAGACTGCTGAGAGTGGCCCTCGGGGCCTGGAGGAGCAGCAGCCTCCTGAGCGCTGCCGGGAACAGCTTCCTCCACACTGGAAAAGGCAGTGACCCCAAAGCTTCTTGGAGCTTGCCACGACCCCGAGCCAGAAGCCAGGGGGAAGTTAACCGCCGGACACCCCCCTGACAGCTTCGCCCCAGACGGGTCCTCCATCAGAGGAAGCAAGGAGTGGAGGGGACACCTGGATGCACCAAGCTCTGAGCTGACTCTGGAGCAGAGAGAGTGGAAACTGCCAGCCTGTGCTCGGGGTGCCGCTGTGGAGCACGGGGCCAACAGCTGTGGATTAAGGAGCAGAGAGCCAGAAAGGCCATGAGCTTCCTACACGTTAGAGCTGGGCCTGAGGTTCTCCTTCCTTTAGGGCAGAACCCAGACCCTAAGCCCCTGAAAGCCTTGGGTCTCTCTCCATGCTGCTTTCCCCAGCCCAAGCCTGACGCCCCAGACTCCTCTTGCAAGCCCTTGCCAGTGCCTTCACCGACTCTGAAAATCCTGCAAAGCCAGCTCTGAATCGGCCCTGGTCCTTCTTTCCAGGGGGCTCTCTCAAGTAGAAATGCTCTTGGCTCTGTGATGACTGAGATGTTTTGTTCTTGCTGTCTCCTGCCAGCTTACAAACCCATCTGCAAGCTCTCGAACATAAGGGTCTTTTCCCAGGGTCTGTGGGCCCAGCTAATATGGATTAAATCTTTAGGAAACTTACAAGCCATGAAGTCAGCCATTAGCAGCTTGAAACCAGCCATTGTGAGGGGAAATTTACACTACAGAAATTGGCAATGGCTACTGACCAGGCCTGCTTTTCCCCCTAGAATGCTGATAATTTAGGCATTCAGTAGAACATTGCTACCTTTTATTTTTTTGTGCTGGAGATTGAATCTAGACCTTTACACTGAGCTACATCCCCAGCCCTTGTTTATTAATTTATTTTTTGAGGCAGGTTCTTTGAGGCTGGGCTCAGATTTGCCATCTTCTTGCCTCAGCCTCTCAGAGTGCTAGGATTTCAGGCATGCTCTACCATGCTCAGCTATACTGCTGCTTTTAACTCCTGCTTCCCAGCTCAGCTTCTGCCCAGACCCTCACACCATGAAGTGTGTTCATCCTTGAGTGTGAGTGTGAGTGTGCAGTGGAAACGTAGGAACCTGGGCCACTGTCAGAATTGTCAGAGCTTAGTGTGCAGTCAGGTGTGGGCACAGTCCCAGAGGAAGGAAAAACTGAGTCCATCCTGATCTTCCCCAGTCCCCTGCTGCCCCTTCAGGGGATGATTCTGAGACCCTATCACATGCCAGACTCCTTGCATGCATGGTCACATTTAATCCTTTGTGGAGAACTCAGAGACAGGATAACTTTATAGCTCCCAAGAATGTAGAATCAGCAGCAGATCCACACTCAACCCCGTATCTGTAGGGCTCCAGATCTGCAGCTTCTCTACTCTGCCCTGGCCCTGGACTGCAGACCTGCGACCCTTTGTGTCCTGAGTTCCAGAGTCCCCTGTTTTTGATGTTGGCCGGCACCTTTGTGAGCAGCATTACAGGCGGAAGCTTGGGAAGACTTGCAGGAGCACTGCTGAGGAGCAGGAGGAGGACAGCCACTTTTGGAAGCCCATGCCATGGCTCTGTGGATGAGTCACAAGCTGCCATAGCACTAACAGTGTCCTCATCCTCAGCTGCTCGCTCAGTGCCGGTGTTTTATGGGGCTTCAAGGGGCAGGGAGACGCCTTCTTCTGCCAGTGTGCAGGCACACAAATAAATAATTAAAGCCAGTGTTCGCTAGACCAGCCGCACAACCACAGAGAAAGCCTCGTACAGCAGAGCACCACCGACAATCCGGCAGAGCCAGACCCCAGGGATGGTCACCCATGCCCTCCACTCCCAACTGAGACCAACCAGAACTGGGGCGGAGGACAGCAAGGCCATCACCGGCACTGAGGAGGGAGAGAGCAGGGCACCAAACAGGGCAGACCAGGACACGCCAAGCACCGTGCAGACTAGGTGCGAAGCAGGGGTTGAGCACAGCGGGGTTCTGCATGGTGGGGTGTGGAGGCACCAGACTGTAGCTGCTCCAATTTCTGTGGTGTAAATACCCACGACCAGTTTTAAGACACCGACAGTTTCACACCCAGTTTGTGAAGGTCCCGCAGATTTAATAATTGGTGCCAGCCTGAAGCAGATCCAGTGGACCCCTGGAAAAGACAGGAGCCCAGGGTAAGCCAGGGTCCAGGACACGCATGGGGAGTAAACAACCACCCCCAGCATAGCTCTCACCTGGACAGTTTCGGACACAGCACTCAGCCTGCCAGGGGCCACCGTCCGCTCAGCTCCCTGACACCAGCCTGTCCCCCCGTGCCCTCCCGGTCACTTCTGCCCTGCTGGGCTGAGCTCACCCTCCACTGGTCCCCTGGCCCTGTGACTTCCCCCACTTCCTGGGGTGACTCCTCAGCCTCTCCCTTCCTGTCAGCATCTGTACCTGCCCTGATGTCGTCTTTCTTATTTAACCTGTTTCTCTGAGCCCAATTCCCATCCCTCCCCTCCGAGTCACAGATAAACTTCTCCAAACTGTTTGCAATCAATCCTTCCTCGTTTCCCACTCACTCCCTGTCTCCTCCTGGCTCCTGTCCCACTATTCCTCTGAAAGCTCAGGGGAAAGACTAGCAGGGACCCTCTGCAGATATGACCCTCTCAGCAGCCTTCATTCTGAGGACCAAATGGGAAAGCACGGAAACAAAACTTCAGTAATCAGCACAGAAAACAGCAATTGTTCAAGGCCTTCCAGAAAGAATGGTAGTCAGGATGCCAAGGATAGTCAGCCCTTCTGCTTAGCGGGTCTTTAAACTGCCTACAAGTAGTAGCCTGGCAATAGATGGAGAATGTGATGAAACTACGTAACAGCAAAGGGAAGAATTTGAGGTTGGAAGAGGAAGGAGAGAAGGCACAGGGTTAGCATCTACTAGCCTAAGTGTGCAGGGAAGAAAGCAAAGGGGATTCTCTGCCAGTAGAATGCCTGTAGAAAACTTTTCCTGGACCTTCGGAGATATCTCAGTGGCTGACCGGGAAGTATGCAATGTCAGCCCTCTCTGGGTCTCCCCTCGAGACCCTCAGTAAATGCCACAGGGCTCCCTAATGCATTAGTATGAGCGGGTTGAGGGAGGAAAGCTCAAAGAGAAAAATAAGGGGACAGCTGACATCTGGGTTACACCAGCTACAGCAGGGAGGAATGACAAGTGAATTCAGCAAAAATGTTTTATTTCCACATCTATTGTCAAGCCTAATTATTGGTTGAAATTAGAGGTTCTGCCCTGATCATGGCCATGAATAAATAAAAATATGGTTGAATTTCAGCAGATGTCGTTGATTCCACATCTCTTTCCCTTACAGAAAGGAAAAGAAAGATCCAGCACCAGATCTAGCACCTTCAGACACAGACGTGAACGCTTGAGGTGCAGACACTTTGCTGTGGAAAGGACTTGCCTCACCTAATAAATTAAGTCACGTCCGAGTCCTGGATGGGCCTCCAGGCTGCGCAAGATGCTCACATTGGCGTTGCATCCGAACTCAGCAAGATAACCACAGTTCGTGGAAGCAGTTTTCCTTGGCACACCACACGTGCACGCTCTATTCATGTAGTCAGTCATTTAACAGATATCCACGCCAGGGAGCACAAGTGGCACAGGAGAAAACACAAAGGTAATCAAGACATGGCTTTTGTCCTGAGACGCTCATTAGCTCATGCCCACCAATGTTTGGGGGTCTTGACAGTCACATCCACAGGTTCTGCATCCGTAGGTTCTACCAGCCATAGATGGACAATCAGAGGAAAAAATTACGCTTCTGCTGAACAGTACCAACTGTTTTCTCATCACTTTCCCCAAACAATACGGTAGAACAACTGTTTCCACTGCCTTTGCAATGTATCAGTACTGAGCCACCTAGACCTGATTTAAAGTACACAGGCAAATGTGTAGATGATACGAAAACACTACCCCTTTTACACAGGGGACTGAGCACATGTGGATTTTGGTATTGTGGGGGTCCTGGAACCACTCCCCACATCTGTCAGTCTATGTGTGGCAAGCTAATGTTGACACTGAAATCAGGAGTGTGGACACTATGACACGGACCCTGGCCCTGCAGACTCTGAGAAGGCTCTGCTTAACAACAGCATTGTCCCCACCCTGCACCTCCTCTTCCCACCCAGCCCATCTCTGTCTGCACTGTGCTGCTTGGTCCTCCTCCTGTGCTATCTGCCAGCCTCTTTGCCACCCCAACTTAGGAATGTGCTGTAGGGCTGTGTTAGATTTCTTCTGCTTCCCTGCCTTCTCCTCCCATAGCTGGGCATGTACCCTGCTGTCCACCTCACCCCGGGGAGTCTCAGCAGCATTGTGAGCAGACCATCAGTTCTCAAAAATCTAGATGCAATGGCTCACAAGAACCAGGCTCTCCGCTGCATCATGGGTGAGACATTTTCTTTACTGGCAACTGTGCCCAATTCACCTCTGCCTGACACTGATTCACCAGAGGCCTTAGACCCCTAATGGCCAAGCCCTACTAAGCCTTTTGAGGCAGAAGAATTTGCAAGAGTCAGGAAGCAAATAACTAGTCACTAGAAGTGACCACAGGAGATCACGCAGCCCAGTTTCTTGCCTTTAACAACATCACTTGAAGTGGGGCCTCCTTCTCAGTGGAGGTAAACATCTTCTTTGTCAACAGTGACCTTTCGCAGGGCGATTAACACACACTTGCTCTTGCATCTTAGCTTTTCACTAGAAAAGGAAACAATGCAAAAAATATGCAGAATGGGGAAGCTTCATTGTTTAAGCTAACATGGATTGGGCAGGTACTAGGGTAGGCACTGGGCCATATTTTACCCTTTAATTTTTATAATGATATTCTAAAGTGAGTACTGTGATTCTATCCATGTCACGGATGTGGCAACTGAAGAGAGTAAGACCAAAGATGGTGGGCTAGAAACCGGAAGAGTCAATTGACCTGGGTCCAGAACCCCTTTCCCACTCCCGTTCCTCTGCCAGCGTTATTAGATGGGCCTGCAGTGCACCTCCACCCTGACCAAAATACCGCTCTGTGGTATCAGTCGAGCCAAGAGCTCAGCACACACTTAGATGAAGAGCCCCATGCATAAACTCCCACCTCCTCTGCTGATTTAGTCCGCTTGACAAGGTATGACAGTCCACCAGGGAGAAGTGCAGGCTGCAGGTTCTTAGCTTCCCAGGAGCAGACCCGGCCACAATCCTCCTGTCTGGAGCCACATCTTCATCTCCAGTCTCCCTCGTCACTCGTGTGTGCATGCCTCAGGTCTGCTCTTTGTCTTCTTGTGTGTCCAACAGTGCCAATCCAGACTCCAGAAAGAGGCATTTTCCCAGGCCATGTTTCTGCCTTTCTCCATCTCATTACTCCCAAACTCCAAACAGGTGTCGCTCAGTAAATGCTCACAAAAAGACTAAATCTACACAGGAGCACAAAGACTAAATCTACATAGGAGCGACACAGGAGCTGAAATCAGAAGTTGAGTACAGACATGAGGTAACCTACAATAATATATAGATTGGTATCCCCCAAAAGTGCACTGGAACCTCCTTTTTCCTTCGTATCAAGCTGTTTGAGCAATGTGGAATCTCGGTCCTTCATGTCCCACATGTGCTATAACACTTCCCATCACTGCCACCCCAGTACATGATGAATTTATCTGTAGAAATAAAAGCCAAGGTCAATGCAGCTTTGCTCTGAGCCTGCAATTCCCAGGAGGCCAGGAAGCAATCTTTCTGAGCAAACTATAAAGCCCTCAGAACATGAGCTCCGTGTAGATTCTTTGCAAAGTGCTTGTTTGTGTCGAGAAAATTCCAGCCCAATGAGAAACCAGATGGGTAGACTCACCAAATATTGAAGACAGGCCTCAAGGCAAAGCAGACGCACTCTCTCTCTGGTGCACACTAAGCTCAGGAGTGATCCTCCAGCCATTACGAGCAGAGAAATGTCCCACCAGAGTCTTCCAAATAGCAAACTCTTAGTCCGATGATTGTTTCTATCATTTGCCATATTTTCTGTCCAAAAGCCTCTCTAGTTCCTACATGGTTAGCAGCTTTTATAGCCCAAGATAAGTGTCCATCCCTTTTAATTTTCATTGTTGCATCTGTTTTGCCATTTCTCTGCAGCAGGTTGTATTACAACGGAAGGATTAATGAGGAAATGGTTGCAAACATTTTTATTTCAAATAGCAGCTCTCAGACAAGATCTGGAAAACGGAATCAAGCCATATGATTGTAAAAGGAAAAAAAATCCTCACCATCCAACTATTGGGCATTTTGCCATTATTTGTGAATAGCATGTAAATACAAACAACTTAACTGGGGTGGGGGAGAGATGTACATTTTTCATTTGTGTCTGGCTAATCATTTTTTTATTATTAATTTGGTCCCTTTTATTTCACATAAATGTCATCTCAAGCACCAAACATCAACAAATAAGATCATTTATCTTGCTGGGAAAAGCAAAACACTGCATTGCCATTCAGAGAAGGCAGCTGACGTCCCCGCCGCACCACTAATAAAGAAGGCCTTCAGAACGAAAAATAATCATTTTCTATTACTTTCCACCATGCCTCATCCATAAACACGGGGCCGCTGGTAATTGTATTTAGCGAAGAAGCATTCTCTGGGTATTACGATTTCCTGAGAAGGAAAAAAACCAAAGAACACCTCAAACAGAGGGTCCAGATGAAGAGCAGGACCTGCTTCCTCCTTCCTCGGCCACCTCAGTAAGAGGGGTGATCGAAAATTATGATGAATGTTTATATTTTTTTTGTAATTTACTACAGTAAAAGACTCACTACCAAGAACTATGAGATAAATGTGTTCAAAGCTAGGGAGAGTATTTTGAGGGGGATTAATGGCAACAGGTCTTTTACCATAACAATTTTTTAAATGTATACATTCACTGTATTTTTTGATCACTCCTCAGTGAGCAAATGTGTATGGAAATTTCTGTCAAAAACATTGCGCTGTGTCCTCATCCACCTTATTCACTGGCTCTGGCACCGTGTGACTTCTGGCTCTTCCCCAAGGTCAAAATGACCGTGAGAAGGAAGCATTCTGAATTGATTTAGGACACTGAGGCAGCCATGACAGTGTAACCAACGACACTCACGAAAGAGGACTTGCAGAACTGCTACAGAAAGTGGCAACAACAATGGGGTAAGTGAGGGGGAGGACTTGAAGTGAGGGGGTGGATTTTGAGGGCAATTAACAGCAATGTGACTTTTATTGTAATAAAATATTAGTTTTAAATTAAACATTCACTGTTTGGGGGGGTCATTCCTTATATGCTCCTCTGTCAAGGACAAGGAAAGAAGGAAGAGAAGATGGGGCTTTCTTGAGATTTTTCTTTTTCCTCTCTTTGGGCTGAGAGAAGAAGAGCAGCCAAAGATGCACAGGAAAGAGCGGAGACAGAGCGGGTGGATCAGGCCATGGGGATGACACTGGCCTAGCAGCTGAGACCACGCCCAGCCATGAGCGTCCACGCGGGTTCAGACACGTGAGGTGACCGTGCCCACGAGCATGCGCACTTGAGCCTCCGGTCCCGGGCTGGGAGGCAGCATGGCCGCACTGATAAATCTAACTCAGGCCCACAGACTCCACGCTTCCCTGTCGCTGAAGCATTTGGCTGGCCTGCCCGCGCTGCCTGCTCTGCCAAGCAAGGCACTGACTCCGCAGGAGAACCGTCCTGTCGATCTCTGCAGGAATATAAGACCTTTTTTTCCAAGTAAAATGTTCCCCAACTCTGCAAGGGAGGTTGGCAGTACATCTCCAACTCTGGCCTGTCTTTTTAATACCCCCACAATAGCTCGGTTGGACTGAGACCAGCTGTTGGTACATTACCATTTGTAAATGCTTAAAACAGCTACTCCTTGTTTTCTTGGCAACACTGACTGTGAAAAAAAAAAGAGGAAAAAAAAGAAAAGAAAGCTAGCTCCAGCCACTCATCCAAACATTAAGAACCACTGACTGCAGGCTTTGGCATTCTGGGGCCATTGTCTACGGTCCCCGCCCCAGGCCTCCTCCCCAGTGGCCACTCTTCCCCACACCCTCCACGCCACGGAGGAAGGAAGTAGTCAGCGGAGAGGCGGGCCCAGGCCCAGAGTCCTGAAGCCGGTGCACGGCAGCCACAGAGGCAGGGAGGAGATGGAGGCTCGCAGGGAGCTCTTTGTCTGCCTCTCGCCTTTCATTTGCTGTCCCCTCCCGGCCCAGGCTGGTCATCGTCCTACAGCCTCGGCGGCGACGATCAGCATCTTGCAGATGCTTGCGGATTTTCCCAGTCAGCCCACCCTTTCGGGCTCTCTGAATGCCCCAGTCTGGACGCCACCGTTTCCAGGACTAGCAGAGGACCCTGGCAGGAGGGAGTTGGGGGTTAACTAGGAGACAGCACAGGGGCCTCCTCCAGATGGGACCTCCCTGATGGACGGGTTTTGCTCTGATTCCACCGCTCACCTCCCACCCAAGCCCCTGCAGAGCCATCCGCAAGTGACACCCTTCTCTTCAGATTCCCCAAGTCAATACTGGGGGAATTTCATGAAGAATGCAAGGGTCCCTGTCCTACCCCACTCCCCATCCACCCCTCCTGTTACCCCCGGCCCCGTTACCACTGGCAGTGGTGGCCTCCAGGGCCACGTGCCCACTGCCGGCCACGTGCCATGTGCCTCGAGCCACGCAGTGCAGGAGCACAGGCCGATGTGCCCACGCTGCCACAGCAGGGACAATGAGCCTTGCGTGCCATGCCATTCAGCAAGGGCAGGGGTGGCTGCATCTGTCCTTGCTCCTTTAGTGGGGTTTCTGGGCATGAGAGAGAGAGGTCTGTCCGTGTCACAGGCGCTCTTGGATATGAGAGAATTCAAGTAGCCAAATGTCTCGGCAGAGTTGAAATCCCACACAGAAGCTCCAAGAGGAAGGAGAGGGCCTGGAATTGGCCCAGGAGGACAAGCTCTTGGGGGGAAGAG